AGGGGAAGTGGGGGAACGGGGTGAATCCATAGGATTCATATTAATTTGCTTGCTTGGATTTCTAGCAGGTAGAGAGAGCGGCTTCTCGTACTTCCTGGGATTCGGGACATCCAAGGAGGGCTCCATCCCGGCCAACCCCAGCTTCTGCCCCGGCGTGTCCTGCTCCATGCATAGCTCTTCAGTCACAGAGGGCCGGTGGTGAAAGGGCATCATGGGCCTCTTTTGCAGCTTCTCTGCTTTCTCCTGCCTCTCGGTGGTTTTGTGCTTTGAGGAGGCGGGAGGGGGCAGTGCCGAGGCTGCCGCGGCTCCCACGCCGAAGCCGGGCGGGTTTATCGTGGGGGGCCGGCTGGAGCCGGCGGCACAGCGCTGCTTCAACACCTTGTGCCTGAAAGAGAGGCAGAGACAGCTCACTCCTGGTCTGGGCAGCCACCTGAGCTCAGGGGAAAACCGAAGCCAAGCTACAGCACCGAGAAATCTGTCTGATCCCGCTCTTTAAACAGAGCCCGGGATGGTCCCACGGGCGGGACCAGCTCGGCTGCAGCTCCTCTGACCCATAAATGGAAAAGGAGAGGCTCCAGAAAACAGCATTCAAGGGAAAGAGCTCATGTACAAACCAGCTCAGCTGGAAGGTAATTAACTAAAAAATCCAAGTTGCTGTTGCTTTCACTGCCATAAAGCAGGTCAGCCTTTCCAACTGGGACTGCTGTGGAGCTCCAGCCCTGCTCCTGGCTCCCTCTGGAGCAGCAGGATTGGCTTGGGAATGTTCACAGACTCAAATCCATTTCCTCCTCCACATCAGGTAAGGGAAGATAAGCACAACTCCAGTCCAAAACCAAACCAAACCCACACACAAAATAAAGCGCTTTCTACCTGATGAAGAAAGCATTAATAAATATTTTAAAATATTCAAACAACAAAAAAAAAAGACAATTTAGTACTGGTTTCATATTTTAATATGGCTTTTTTTCCAATTTGTACCCAGTATCTTTGAGACTGGGAAGCACAGGACTGAATTTCAGTGTTCCAGGTGCTGTTAAACAGTATTTTCATCATACTGATGATGTTCTCTGAGGATGTTACCACAGGGATTCTGTTGTAACTCTGTCCATACTTTTATTGTTCTTTTTTGTTGTTGAGGTTTGGTTTTGTTTGTTGTTTTTTTTTTTGTTTAGTTGTTTATTTGGTTTTATAACCTAAGCAGAAATCAAAAGACATGTTGTGCTCAACACTGAAACCTGTTTAAAATTAAACAACATTTCAAAATAGATCACTCCATCCCTGTCCTACGAACAACAGGACAACAAAAACCATTTCAGATCATATAATAAGGTTTTAACTCACGAAGATAAAGTCTGTGATCACAGGTGAAGAGGATTAGATGGGAGAAACCCAGCCCTGTCCAAGGGACCAAACACACCCTGTGCTTGCTGCCCTGTGCCCTGCAGCCATCCCTGCTGGGTGGGGCTGCCCTGGCTCTCCCCGTGGGCTGGGCTGTTCCCAGGACACAGCAGATGGTGTGTGGTGCAACCACCCCAACGTGAGCTGATGCCCTGGTAACTGCAGACCTGCCTTAAGCATGTTCCTGTAACATTTCATTGCCTTAATTCTCCATCACTCCCCGGATTTACACTGACTGCAGAGGATGATTCCAGACATTCTGCTCTTCACACACCCAGCCGGGTCCAGGAAAGGTGGGATTTGATGCTGAGCACCACAGAGCCCTTGCAGACTCCAGATTTAAGATCATCTCTTGACATTTACACAGCACAGGGGACGGGCACGGCAATGACTCAAACAGGATCTGTGTGACAGCAGCTGTCCAGTGTCTGCAGCTACCCAGGAAATATTTACTGCTGTTGGAAATCAGGTACTGCCTTCATTTTAAGGACAATATTTTCATCTGCCACCTGCCTTGTTTACTAACTCCAGCAGGATGCAGGTACCACTGGAGGGATGAGAAGACAGAATCCTGCTTCCACTGCCCATTATTGATTCCCCACGCTTTCCAGGCCAAGCTGGACCTCAGTTTTCCATAGGAAACACTTGGCATTCTGACAAAACATCCACCTATTCTGCACTCCTGAGTGTGTAAACACAAGCACCAGGTAACCAGGGGTAAAGGGCTGCAGGAAAACAACCCCTCCCTGGGCATCCAGCACGGAGCCTCCAGGCTGAACACTCTGCCCTCACATGAGGCACAACCCCTTCATCTCTTTCACACAAAGAACTTCAAGAACAACTTCTTTAGGAAAAGAGGCTTTTATGACCTATCTCATAAGTGGAAGGATTTCAGCAGAAGCAGTTTCACAGGACTATTTGGCTGGACACTGTGGGGTTTTTTCTAGCCCTGCAACATCTCTCTGATGGTTTTAAGAACAGTGGTGCTGGTTTGCCTTTCCTCAGTGAGGAGCACTGGAATTTTAAGCACCCATCAAAGATGACATAATTGAATAAACTCCTCAAGTGTTTGTGTAAGTGAGCTGTGGTTTCTCTTTGATCAGCTGACAGTGGATGGTGATGCTGCAAAGGTTTAATATCCTCCTGGATGATTTTCGGGGTCATGGCAGATTGACTAGAGATGGTTTTCCCCTCTTCCTCCAAACAGGGACAGTAGCACTATCCCTTAATCAGGATGCTCAGGAACAGCCAGTGCCCCTCTTCAGTCACAAGCCTCAACCACTCCAGAGGTTAAAGCTCTGAACAGCCTGAAGGATGAGTTCATTAGGAATGAGAACAGTTGGAGTGATCCTAGACTTGAGATGATAATTTTTCCACTTGAACTGACTCCTGCAAGTGACAGTGGTATGAGATGCATATTAATCACCCAAAGAGGAGTGATGATCACAGTTTTGATACTAGAATTTCCTCTTGTCTCAGCTAAAACATAACTCCCCTCTCTAAGTGTCCCTCTGAACTAAACAGGGTTCTTCCAAATGCTTATTCTCCTCAAAGCTCACCTGGAACAAGAACAACTGACTCTTTGGACTGGATCCACAAAATCCCATGAAACAGTATTGTTAGGAACTTCCTCTTCCAAATTTGCAGTTGTAATTTGATTCCTCCTGAGAGGGAGAGAAAATTATTTTAGTAATCATCACCTTTTGTAAAACAAAACTTCATAAATGCAGCACATGCAGAAATTCACTTTGTTCCCCTCAAAGAAATTCCTTGACCTTTGAAACAGGTGGTAGATCCCTGTACTACTCCTTAGAAGTTGTGGTTTGATTTCTGTGGGAGGAAGGTCCCAGCTCTGCATCAGACAGCTCTGTCTGGAGTCTGAGCACAAAAAGCAAGGGGCAAGCAATTTAAACTGAACCTGGAAACTCTTCTGACTTATCCAACGAGGAAATTGCAGGGAAAAAGGGAAAAGTAAAGATTTCAGGGCACACTGTGCCGTGATTTACTTCAAATCTCCAGTAACAAAGGCCTCTGATACCAACATCAATTTACCACATCCTTGCCAACTGAAATTTCAGTCCAGCTCACGTAATGTAAAGCTTTACAAATATTACCCTTAGAGCCCTAAATATCAAATATATACTATTTGTTCTGCAGTAACTACAACTGGAGACAGAAACTGCAACCTGAGAGCACCCAACTGAAGGCACATCCTATGGTTGTGCAGCCTCAAGGACACACAACAGGAAGGGTCAGGAGTTCTCAGCTGAGCACAGGGACAAATTTCCTCTGATGATGCTCTTCAGCATCATCAGCTTTGAGTGGTGGCAAAAGAATTCTGTGAGGAATAAAACCATAATGTATGATTTTAACTGTCATAAATGAGTAAAGCCATGAGGACTGACTTGGACTGTGCCCTGTTGAGGATGCATTCCTTCCAGACACGGTGAACCATTCGGTTGTGGAATTTTGGAGTAATCTTGCTTGATTTCTTTGGACTGTGGACACTGACTGTGCCCTCCTGCACAGCTGAGTGGCTGAGGCTGCTCTGAGAGCAGCCACTTTCTCCTGCAACAGAAACAAAGCATTCATGTCAAAGCTGTTCTTCACAGGCACAGGGGATGTTGTTTCCTGGCAGGCCCTTGTCAGGGTGCTCACACTCCCCAGGGAATGCTCAAAGCACCCTCACAAAACACATTTCAAAGCAATTTGAGGTAACAAATATGGCACAAGGTTGTATCAGGTACATGGGCAATACTGCACCCCATGTGATGCAATATGCTCTGTATATTATACATCTATATTTTATTTATATTATATATATATACACATATATATTTATATATAATAAATGGAGGTATTTTAGATAGCCCCTAAAGCCCTGGATAGAATCACTAAGAAGCAGTGCAGACAGAGCTTTTTCACAATAATTCTGGGTGTTAAACTAAAATTTATATAGTCTTTGCTGAGTGTTTAAAGATTAAATTTACTATAGTATAAATGGTTCTAAAAGCATCTATTAAGAAAACTTATCATTTATGTAGACTATTTCAAAGCAAGGATCAGTTCTTTATACTCAATATAAAACCTCACTGAAAAAAGAAAGGATTAGTGTGATCTCTGCTCTGGAGCCAGGCTGGGAGAGCTGGGGGGGTTCCCCTGGAGAAGAGAAGGCTCCAGGGAGAGCTGAGAGCCCCTTGCAGGGCCTAAAGGGGCTCCAGGAGAGCTGGAGAGGGACTGGGGACAAGGGATGGAGGGACAGGACACAGGGAATGGCTTCCCACTGCCAGAGGGCAGGGAGAGATGGGAGATTGGGAAGGAATTCCTGGCTGTGAGGGTGGGGAGGCCCTGGCCCAGGTTGCCCAGAGAAGCTGTGGCTGCCCCTGGATCCCTGGAAGTGTCCAAGGCCAGGGTGGATAAACTTGGAGTAACCTGGGCTGGTGGGAGGTGTCCCTGCCCATGGCAGGGGGTGGGACAAGATGGGCTTTCATGTCCCTCCCAACCCATTCTGGGACTCTCTGCTATTTCTTTATAACATGCTTGAATTGAGATACCAGAATCCAAACCTGCTCTGCTAAACTTTTACAGCCCAGAAGTTCTCAGCAGCTGATCATCAGTGCATATAACACACATTATTAACACAGATGTGAGGCTCTCAGTATGTGGTATCTGTGTTGATTATCAAAGAGATAACAAAGATATCACCCAACACGCTGAGAGCCTGAAAACCCTTGGCTTATGCTCTGCCCTTCCCTTCTCCCTGCCTGTGCTGCAGAAGCCATTCCAGGGATTGCAGGAGCAGACGTTTCTTTTCCTCCCATCCGTGTTTTTGTTTGGATCCCCGAACTCCAGCACCCCCACCCTGCCAAGCCCGAGCTGCAGCAGCAGAGGGAGCTTTGGCTCCGTCTGGGCCGGAGGAGCCAGGAAGGATGTGCTGCATTTTAACAAGGTCAGCTCAGTGCACAGAACACTTTGTCCTCCTGCCTGACGCAATGCAAGGGCTGAGGGGACTCGCTGCTGCTCATCCCTGCAGCCACACGGGCATCCTGCTCCCTTCCAGCAGCTGACTGGCAAAACACAGCTTTTAAAAGCTGGGCACAAGCTGCCCAACCCTGTATCTTCTTTGGTTCCTCATGTTATAGATTTATTTCTCCAGTTAGACCTTCCCTGGTTATCTTCCTGCAAAGTCAAGCCCCTAAAACCCTGGACATGTTGTGGCTCTTACCATGTGTTCCCCTGGGTTTTAAACGTTCTGTAACACTGGGAACTTGACAGGGGATCAAAAACCCAGGTGGAAACTTCAGAATTAACAAATCCATCCTCCTCTGGCAAAGGGGGGAAGGAATTTGTGTATAAAGACAAACCTAATGTGCACACAAACAAACATCCTGTACTCTGCTATAGAGTCCCAGATGCTCCATACATGGCAACAGCAGGAGGAAAATAAAGAAAAGTATGATGGGAAAATATGGTTAAAAGAGACCTGAAAACATCATTTAGTCCATTCCCTGCCTCAAAGCTGGATTAATATATTTGACTAACCTGTTTCTTAAAAACAAACACAGAAAATTCCCCCAACAAACCCCCCAAACCCCCCACCCCTCTGCTGATGGAACTTCTGTAGCCTCCCAACAGCCAATTTATTCCAACACTTCATCATCCTTCCTCAGAGCAAGTTTTCCCTCCTGTTCAACCTAGTTTTGCTCTGCTCCAGTTTAGGTTCATTACATATTGGTTGCAGAGAAAAGCCTCCTCTTTGATTCTCTGAAGGCTGTTACACCACCTCTCCTTCAAATCCTGCTTTTCTACACTAAACAACCTCAATTCTTTCTATCTTTTCCCAACTGGACACGACACTAAACCCACATTTCAACTGGCACTGGGCAGAACTGAAGTGTTATTCAGGCTAACCCAGTTTATTTATTCCATCTGCTGATTCTGGACTGTGTGGCACGTTTTTTCCAATCCATTTCTCCAGTTTTTCAATGTCTTTTAAAATGGTTTTTGATATAAAATAAAGGGATCCTTTCACTGCTTGCTGGAGAGGCACCCCTGTGATAGGAATTCATATTGCCCTCAAACAATAGCAGAGATCAAACAGAAGCTGTGACTGCCAGATTGGACAACAAGAACACTTTTATATAACTGATAGTTTATAAATATTCAGCAAGAGAATCCCCCTTGTGATATTGTACAAGTTGAGAAATTGAAAAATACAATAGCACATTAAAAGATGCATCAATACTTGAATAGAGACTTATTTAAACGTTGATTGTCTTGCTTCAGTTTGTTACTAATTAGCTTTTTGCTTATTTTAACTACCAATTCCCCTGAAAAACACTATTCCAAGTGAATTTACACCTCACATTCTGCATTATTAGCAGTAAATACTAAATACTTTGTCTTCATCTGCAGGCACCATTCATGGACAAGTGAATCTAGACATGTTTTTCCATGGCAGTGAAGTCAACAATCACTGTTTTTCTTTGGTTTTGCATCAAGATTCAAAGGTTGAGAGAGTTGGAGGAGGAATTGTATCAGTGTACACAAACACCTGACAGGGAGAATAGACAGGATATAACCAGTGGCACCCAGTGAAAGGGTAAGAGGGGATGGGCATCAACTGAAACACCAGGAATTCCATTTAAACTTTCTCCTGTGAAAATGGAAGCCACTGGAACAGACTGCCCAGAGAGGCTGTGGAGTCTCTGTCCCTGGAGATACTCAAAACCTGAGTGGACAATGTCCTGGGACAACCTCAACTACCTTGTAATTCTGTTACAATGGCAAGCCTGTAAAGAGCAAGTGCAGAAGATAATCTACACAGGAAAAAAAATAATTAGTTGTAAAAATACCTTCAAAACACAGTCTGCAAAGGAAAAAAAAAAATCACATAATTTCTTTTTTCTATGTCAGTTATTTTCTTCTTTATTATCCCAGAAGTTTGCACTCAAACAGATGTCTGACACCTCTGTTCCTGAGCTCCCATCTGAAATGGCAGTTCTGAACTGGTTACAGGATAACCA